AAACTTTGTTCAATACCACACTTCTAGTGCAGACGCCCACATTTTAATGACACCAAATGCGCCGGGCTGTGTGTGGATGAAATCAATATTACATGAAGACATTTAGAATATTTCAATTTGATGGCACGTTGATAAATAAACTCAGCTTTTTGGGTTTGAATCCAAAAATGGGAGTGTGCATATGTGAGAATGTCTCTTAATGGAGGTTAGATCAGGCAGGAATACGGGTAATTTAATCAACTTAAAGCTACATGTGGGGAAATGAACACTCCACACAGAATATGGACCTCATCTCCTCCTGGATTACTATTCTCAACAGACCTGTGCTACTCTAATGAGGGGCAGAGGAAGAGGCCAGCTGGACACCACTGATCCTTCACCTCCCTTCCTATCTATACCTACTGAAACCATCCACCAACCCTGCTGCTCCTCTGCTCCCACAAGCCCCCGCGTGCCCTCCAGTCCTGCTCTGCATACAGCCATTAGCACCCCTCTACCCCTAACCTTCTGCTTCTCTGCACCCACCACTCCCTCCACCTGCCCCTCCACTCTCTCTCTCTCATTCTTTCTCTTTAGTGTCTGCCTCCATCCTTTCCTCCGTCTCCTCTCTCTGCTGTCACTCCGTTTTCCTGGGCACCTGTCACTTTTCTCTTTCACTTTTCCCCTGTATCCCAACCTCTGTTGTTTTTTTTCCTTTCTCTTCCTCCATCTTCTCTTTCTCATCTCCTCTTAGCTGTCACTGTCTTTCTCTCCTTATCTGATTGTCTCTTCACTCCTTCCATCTATACATCCTTCTTCCTCTCTCTCTGTCACCACCTCCTCCCCAACCACCTCCCTCGTGTCTGTGTTTTTGTGTGTGTGCGTGTCAGCATTCAGCACCTCAGTGGAGACAGGGTTTATTGGGGTAATGCATTTATCACTGCTGCAAGCCAGGGCCTCACCTCCTCCTTTGAGCCAGTGAGTAATGAAAATAGGATCACTTCTGACAACACTCTGCAACACACACTCGGACTCACACAGATGCACTCTTACGCGCACACACACAAAAACACATATTCGTGAATGTTCCTCAAAAACGCTTCCATTTAAATATCAACATCGATGAAACGCAAACTTCCAAGGAACTGAGGAGATTCTTGTGCTCATAAACTCAGAGACGCTTGCCAGCTCTCCTGTCACAAAAAATACCTTCTAGTATTTTTTTTTTAATAATAACTAGATGTAATTACTAGTTCTTATGCTTTCTTTTAGACAAATTAGTTAGTTAACCCAATACTGTAAGCAATAATTATTAAATAACTGCTTATTTAATTACACAGAAATGAGAAAATTTGTTCTGTGATAAACCAAATTTACATTATCTTGACGTTAACATACATAAACAATTACACAAATTTCTGAGAGGCAAAATGAAAAGTAATCTATCAAAAAAAATCTATTGATGTAGCTGACCTAAAACTGATATTAGAAAAGTGCTCAACACTTCAGCATTTAAGTGATATCAACATCTTTCAGCGAGGCTTGAAGCATCTAAAATCATATTCAAATTTTAGCTGGAAAAAAAAGAGCAAAACAAAAGAATTTTGCTCAGTGCAGGTGGGAAAGATATTATCTTAGTAAATAACTACAGGCTACAACATTATTAGCCCCATATCACAAACTTTGCAGCGGCTGAGCAAAAATGTAGTGATGCCGCTGCAGTTTTTAATATCGCACAGTTTGGACACTAACAACGTAAACTCTGCACATGATATACTTGGAGAGCTGTTCAATAATTTCCTAATAAAATACTTAAAAGAGCAATTTAAATAATAAGTGAAATTTACTAAGTGTACCTAAATGTTGGCCATCTAAACAAAACCTTAGTGTCTACAGACATAACATTATGACAGCTTGGGAGTTTAGCAGGATTAGCAGACCTGTCGCCATATATGCTTTGACTGAAATTCACAAATATTCCAAGACCATCTCCAAATGAGTATCTATTAGAGGTGGGAATCACCATACATCCCACGATACGATATTATCACAATACTTAATGCATGATACGATATTATTGCAATTTTTTAAATATTTTGCGATATTCAGATTCTGTACATAAAGGTAAACTTTATCAATATTCATTTTATCTAATATCAAAGTCTCACACTCTCTCGCACTCAGTCTTTCTCTCATTTCAGTTTTATTGTTGACAAACTGAACGGTTTGTATCACAGTCTAGTCCAACTTAACTGAATGCAACCATCTGGTACAATTATAGCTATTCTGAACTATGCAATTTATGAAAACTATGCAGCCCCTTCAGCAACTGAAGAATTTGAAAGTAAATTAAAACAAAACATAATTTTACATTAAATAAGTAAACTGTCATGTTTATTGCTGCCATAAAAAAAGTTAAACACATTTGGACAGTGAAGGAATGTCAGGATTCTTGCTCAGAAAAAGGATCAACATGCTCTGACGTCAGAGCACAAAAAGCTTTTTTGTAACAAAATATCGATTTCTGCTGTCCCTGTATCGATACATTATTAGCAAACAAAATATCACGATACTACACAGTATCGATTTTTTCCCCCACCCCTAGTATCTATGGATGTGACAAGTCTGTTAGGGAATCTGGTGTCTAATACCTATAATATGCACTCATCTGAAAACTAGAAATACCCGGCAAAAATGGACTATACAAAAGCATCAATTATGTCTATTTTGACCTTGCAGGTAAGTTTGATGTATATCTCAGTAATCTGTGTCTACACATCATTGAAAATAAATTGTTAGAGTACCAAAATAACCAAAATCTAAGTGAATTTCAGCCCAAGAAAATATATGCAACTGCCAAATTCTGTCAAACAATCACAACCACCAACAATGACAGTACTGAGCTAAGCCTCAAATTCAAATATTGTGTTGCACCTTGAAAAATACTCTACTGCATAGAATTTCTACTACATTATAAACTTGGACGACAACAAAACTTTCTTCCAAATTCATGTTGCTGCATTATAACACCGCTGGACTCACTTGCCACAGTTCTGAACTAACATCTTTTATCATGTGGAATCGAAAGGCAACATGTCTGACTATTTCAGCCGTGGTTTCCTAGGGAGAAAGAAATCAGGTAAGGATCAAGTGTTAATGGCCAGGGGTGCCTGTCTAATCCCATTTGGTCTGGCAGTGTCGGGGAGGTGGGGGAGGTCTTCACCAGTTTAAAACGATACCATCACCACAGGTATTCGAGCCGGGCTCAGATTGGCCTTGACAGAACAAAACATTGCCGCAGCAAATGACTCAAGCACCTCCCATTACATCAAACTCGAGAGGACAAGGTCAGATCGGCAGCGACATAAAGTTTAAGCTTAGAAAACAAACTTCTCTTCAAACTGCACTTTCTTAAACGCAGCGTATCGTGGCGAGGGAGATTGCTGCTAATACACCAAGTAGTGCGTGGAGAGCCTAAGTCAAAGGACTGCTGACTAATGTGCCGAAATGGTCGGGAATACTCTGTGGTATTGCAGATGGCAGAGGTATTTGTTATTCATATGGCCCTCAAGGTGCATCCACAAGGTTTGCGTGAAAGTGTGAGTCTCGCACGTGCACGTGTGCATGTCTATGTGCGTACGCTTTTGTGCGTGCAAGTGTGTGTGTCTTGTGCAGAAGCCGCAGTGCTGAGGATGCCATTAATGCTTGCTGCTGATCGCCCTCCCACATTTAAATAACAATAGTGCAGTCAGAGAAAGCATCGGTGTGAATCCAACCCACAAAACACCCAGGAGCTGCAGGCCCCACTCCTGCTGTGTGCGCGTGTGTATGTGTGTGTGCGTGAGTGCGCACTTTGTGTGTGTGAGTTTAGGTGCTCTTGCTTGTGCTCAACCCACCACATATATGTGAGTCTGAGAAAAGACAGTAAGACAGAAGAGGGGAGAGAGAAAGACAGGGAGGAAGAGAGGAAGGCAGGCTGCAGCAGAGTCTAAAATACACAGCCACTGTGTTGTGCAGATGGGTTATGTGATGAGAAACTGCAAGTCCACAGAGATTTCCTATTAGCATATACTGGTGACCCTGGATCCCTCAGTGGAAGAGCTGCTTGTCTTTTAAAATGAGTCTGGCTCAGATGGACCGAGTGCTGACTGAAGGTTTTCCATCTTATTTTTGCCTCAGAAATAATAAACAGTTCAGGTGTCCTCTCACTGCAAACTCCACTCAGGCACTATGCAAGGCACGCCAAGTGACAGCAGACACTAAACTAACCAAATTAAAGTCATTTTGAACACCACTGAACATGCCAACATTCAAGCAGTGATCTTGCATGATAGTGCCAAAAAAAGGGATAGCACATTAAAAAAAATCAAAGTAAGTCAATACTGTCCAATATTCCCCTGTATGCTGTTTTGTGTTAAGTTTCAACGGGTTTGTGGATCGAATTTCCAAATATGAAAGAATTGAGGAAATCCTTCAAGACTTTCAGCTACTGGGCAAATTTTTTATTTTAACCATGGGTACTGATCTAAAATTTCACAGCTGGCGCAGCTCTACTAGAAGATATTATCAAATTCAAAACAACATTTATTTTTGTTTTGCTTGTTTTCTGCTGTTTTAGTCCAGTTTGGTTTTTCAGTAAGTTCAGAAAAGATTGGGGGAAATTTTCTTTGGTAACTTCTGTCTCTTTTAGATTGCAGAAATTGTTTTGCATTTTACTGTGATAGGAAATTTAAAAAATAGGAAATAAGACTTTTTAGTAAACTAGACCCTTAGACCAAAGCAACTAGCCCGAATCAGCCATATTAGTAAGTTACTGTTAGATGTATCTCTTTGACAAAAAGATACAATTAATAGCATCCGAACTACCCAATCAGTGTTTTATTTAACTATCGTGTAGTTACTGTAATCATTGTTGGATTAATTATCAGTTTATTTCCTACAATTATATCGAAAAACCAACAATTAACCCAACAAACATTGTACTAACGGGAATTAGTTGAACGTCACTACAGATTACTTACCAAAACGCACCATGTAGTCTATTTAAAGTTGAATTTAGCCTTGTTCGTCTTTCAATACTGGTGATGACAGCATCCACCTGTGAAATACACAGTATTGCTGGTTGAAGCCACAGAGTCCACTCTCCACCCTCAGAGCTAAACTTTACTCCAGTCTGTGGTTCTCATTTATTTACATCGTAGTCTGACTGTTGGTTTGCTAGCTTACACACACTGATATTAAACTAGCTTATTGTGCTAACATTGTAGTAAAGTTAGCTCAGGCAGCCGTTGAGCATGCGCACTCACCAGAGGTCAACTTCATTTTTCAGCTACCGGTATCTTCGAATTCATCACGTCTGTTTTCCGGTTCAAGTGAGAAACAGGTGTAGAACAGGTAAGTCTTTAAACTCACTAACGCTACATAAGACCACCTGCATCCAGTATGCCGTCACTCCACTCTCTACACTCCTTTTTCTATGTGCCCTTCATGTTTGTTGTTGTCCAGTTTCAATTGAATTTAATTCATATAGCCTCAAGGCACTTTATATTGTAAGGTAAAGACCCTACAATAATATAAAGAAAACAGAGAAAACCGCAGGAAGGAAAAACTCAATTTTAGCAGGAAGAAACCCCTGGCAGAACCAGGCTCAGGGACAGGCGTCATCTGCCAGACCAGTTGGGGGTGACCTGGAGAAAAGAGACGGAAATTAATAATAACAAATAATTAAATGCGGAGTGGTTTGGCATTCAAATGTGACATTAATAATCTTATTCCAATATTGAGCGATACATTATGTGTAAGTTACCTTTTTTATTGCACTATAGAGCATTTTATTTATTTATTTATTTATTTATTTTTAAGCAAAAAATTAAAAAAAAAAAAAAAAAAAGTATTTATACTTACCAGGCATTCGTCTGATGGGTCTGTATTTTTTTCAGTATTTCTAATGCTTTAAGTGACGAAATTAATTATTTAATTATAATAATAATTACCTCTTGGAAACTTGAATTATGAATTATTTTTTGTTGTTACTTTTCATGTTTGAATTTCCTTCATCTTGCTTCTTTCAGTTGTATAAATTTGTTCATCCTTTAAGCATATAGATCCTAATGACACCATGTGTGAAATATATATAAAAAAATTCCCCTTCAGTAGGCATCTTACATAGCAATATTGTCATTTTTTTAAGATAAAATTCCCTAAAAGTAGTTTTCAACATGCTACAGTAAGCAAGAATATGTCGGTGTGACTATATATAACTTGTGAATACATTTTCAAGGTTTCGAAATGTGTAAATGTGTTGTTTAAACATTATTTCCAAACTTTAGATAACCATTAGTGCACCATAACCCTGCACACATACATCCCTCATAGACTTTATATAAGGCTGACTCATTGTTTGTACTTTGTGTGGACCTGAGTGCACGTGATAAAGTGGAAAACCAGCATGCTGCAAACTCCAGTGTCTCACCTCTCTATTTTGCTTCGTGAAAATGTTTGCTGTCACAGAACGCCCACTCACAAATACAAATGCACACACTGACATGTGCTGCATGCTACGATGTGTATTTTTAGCACATGTACACAACCTGACTGATCCCACAACCTGACTGATCCCCCACGATTTTTACAAGTAAAAGTTGCATGACTGTGGAATAAAAAAAGCAACAAAAAAAAACAGCAATTGACATAAATAAAGCGCTGAGATTCTCAGATGTTCCTTTGAAGGCACTCAGCAAATAAATTAAGAATACTTATAAACTTCTCTCCCCATGCATCCTCTTTCCCCCCTCCACATCTTTTGATGTGCCACAAATTGATGCCTAACAGTCACAAGAGCACAGAACACATGACAAGAAGAGGAAAGAAGTAAAGAAAAGGGGAGGCGGAGAGAGAGGGGGGGAAGCAAAGCAAAAGTGGGATGCCGCGGGTGTACATAAGTTGAGAGGTTTGGGAGAAGAAAAAAAAAAAAAAAAAGACAAGAGACAAAAAGAGTGAGAGGCTGAGTCTAATAAGAACCAAGAGACAGCGTGCCGATGTCTTGTGGTGCCATTTGAATACAGGGCAGCAGCAGCTGGAGTCTGTGTCGAACAGCTCTGCACTTCACACAGCATCACCATCAGGAGAGGATAGCACTGGTACTACTCTGCTGGAGTCTTATACTGCTTCACACACTCCCACAGACCAGCCTCTGTGTGTGTGTGTGTGTGAATGTGGGAATGACTGGAGCTCCATGGTTCTCATTACTCAGCCACTGTAATGTGCTCGCCTTTCTAGCTTACCATATTGGGGCTGGTGTTCCCACTGCTGGCTTACAGAAAAGGAAAGGACCAACCTCACCTCTGTTCTGAATGCATTAGCACACATCACATTTTCAATCTGGACCTCAGCACAGGTTCCCCGCGAGTCTACTGAATAGTAAGAAAGTATATGCATGTAAGTGCGCGCGTGTGTGTGTGTGTGTGCAAGAGAGTTTAAAAATACCCATACTCCTGCTCTGTGCTGATAAGTTGTGTTATGAGAAACTGCCAGGGCAGACAGCGGGGTCATTAGCATGACTCCCAGATTGAGTGGTAGAGGGAAAGGAAACAGGGAAGGGAAGAAGGAAGGAGGGACGAAAGTCAGAAACTACACCCAAGTTTCCAAAGTTTTCTGGGAAGGAAACGAGTGAGCACCCAGTCAAGAGTGTGCACAGAGTGTCCAAAGACAAACATAACCCTGCGACCCCTGCTCTCTCAGCCATCTCCAGTCTGATCATCTGGCTGCTTTGGTCATCTGCCTCCTCCAAAGTCCATCTATTCGTAAATGGAAGCACTATTTTTATTTTAGTATCCATGCCCATTGCCTTTCTTATAAGTCCCATAACTTTCTGCACCAAAGTTCCTTGAAACTCTGAAAAAGGCATTTTCAAAGACTTTATGCTTCTTCTCCAATATAGTTCCGAGCAAGGCATTCTTTTTTTTTTTTTTTCCTTCACTGCATTTATTAGGTTTTTCTATTTGGACCCAAGTGCTGATTTCATTCAACTTTCTTTTCTTATTAATATCCTGAAACTCTAACACAGTCCTGTTTTGTGCCGCAGCCTAACATTAATAACATATAGTAAAAGCAGCATTGTCACGGTGTAAAACTTCAAGAACAATTTGCAACTCTTTTGGGATGCACAGAAAACTCATGCACCCAAAGGGAAATCGTTTAATGTGTTGAATTCTTGCTGTTTAATTTGCAGGTCTTAAAAAAATGAATACAGATTAGTGCAGGAAGCCCTTTTTGCTCCACATTAATCATCGCAGGCTGTCTCCGATTTAACTTATGACCTAACTTGTAGTTTCGGGATTGCTTGACTATATTAACAGTATATAAAGCAGTTAGACACGGTTGTGAGACGAAAACACTACTTGATGCTTCAGTAAAAATCAATAATGCGATATGTAATAATATGCCAGACAAAGGGGGAGTTTTCTGCATCATTACTCTTGATTGTTTTCTGTACTTCTCCCTAAGATCTGAATATACATTTTATTGGTTTATTTAAAGACCTTCTTTTTATGACTGCTGTTCAGTGGTCCCACATTCAACTACGTGAGTTTTATTGAGTTAGTTTAAGCTTTTAAAGTACTGTGTATGAGTTGTGTTTAGATTTGTTTTTGCCCCAGTCAATAACACACTTAAATATGACCTTAGGATCTTTGTTTTCTTATGTTCTGTTGCATTAAAAGCTCCCAACTCTCTTTACTCAAGCCCACTCCATCACTTTTAAACGCACTTCGGTGCGGGCATTCTCAGAGGCCTTTTTGACAGCTATAACAACGCTAGTCTTTTGCCTTGTGCCGTTCAGCGCCGAGGAGCCTTTGTAATGTCTTGGCAGTAGCCGCTTCGGTATTCTTCTTGCTGTTGTTATTCCATTTAGGGGCAACAAATCACGAAAAGCAAACCTGTGGTTGTATAAGTCATGCCGGGACCGTAAAGGGAAAACATTAAAAAAAATAGACGGGCATTAATGGAACGGCTAATAAAGTCAGTTTGTGTGAGAGTGTTGTGAAGGATTTACTGCTGACACACTGGTTAATGCACGAGCAGGTTTTCCCTCAAATGTTATTTTTAGGAAAGGTCTAGGGTCTTTTGGAATCTTGTCACTTGTTAACCCCTTGTGTTCTCAAGAATTAATAAAGTCCTATAAAAATGAGGGGGAGCTAAATGACTGGAGAAGGAAGGAAAATTGTTTTGCTTTGTTCTTTTTCGCGTTTGTTACCGGTGGATTGATATGAAAGGATGCATAAATCCCAGGATTTATGCATCCTTTTCAACTAAAACAGGTTACATCAAACAAACATCTTGAGATAAACTGTTACAAAACAGAACCTATGGCTGATACATTTTTTTTTGTTTAGTTTGAAGAGCAAAACAGTTATGATAAGGTCAGCAAATCTGACCTAAAACCTTATCATGTAAACTAGGGACTTTGTATTAATTATATGTCACAAAATGAATACACCACACCTCAAATGGCAAAACGTTATGTCAAAGGTGTTGGCCGAAATGACAAAATAAAGTTATGTTAAGTAATTAGAAAGCACTTCAGGCACAAACATAACGCTGTGTCCTGGTCATAGCTTTCCTGCAGGTCTTCACCTGGACCCCCTTTTTCTGTTTTGAATTTTAAAATAATGCCTTCACGAGTCAAGGCTGGCTTGAATACATGAAAAATTTCTCAAAAATATCAGATTTTTTCCAATATTCTCTTGAATCTGAGATATTCAGCCTCTGCTGATTTCATCGGCCAGCTTTTTGCTTCAGAATCATTGCAGCCACACAAATCCCTTCTTACACAGAGATGAGATGCTACAAGTCTGTAAAATGTATTCAGATATTGTACTTTAAAGTTACTGTTCTATTAAAGCAGACAGCTTCTACATAGCGAACGACAACAAAAAATATTACCGCTCAATCTATCATGAGAGTGCATTCGAAGTGTGTCACGGACCTGTTTCAAACACTTTTAAAATCACTGCTTACCCTCTCACACCAAACATGGTTACAACGGCAAGACAAAACCTCGTTGCAACGTCACAACTGTCTGGCTTCTCCTCTAACACTAATGAGCAAGTGAAAGAGTGGGAGAGTACCCTGATTAGTCTGGCAGCATCAGTGTCAGACACTCTGCGGGGTGCCCACATCTCAGTGTGTGTTTGTGTGTGTGTGTGTTTTTTGTGTGTGTATTATGTTTATATTCCTGCATTT